TTCGGAAGCTTAAAGCAGAGAATTTTCCACAGGTGGATGTCGATAAAGCTGTTGCCGAGCTTAAAGCTCGGAAAAGGATCCTGGAGGCTAAGGTATGTTGACCAAGGATTCATTATGGCACTGGTTCTGTACTTACTTGTCCAGCAATAACCAGAAGAAATCTTGCAATGAATCTTTCATGCCATGCTATCCTTCACTCTCTTGTATCTTAATCAAATTGCAATTTTGGCAACTTCATGTGAACATGCCATGTTGGGCTCCACTTGCGTACTGATGCCGTCCAGCCCTATCTCTCTATCACATCTCTTGACCTTTTCTTTGCCTCTGCTGTATCTCCACTTTTTGCCTGCCTCTTCCCAACCTGGATAAGAAACGAGCAGGAGTAGGCCATTTGGCCCATTGAACCTGCTGCGCCATTCAGTAGGATCACTGTTGATCTAACTGTAGCCATAACTCCACTTTCCTTCTGTCCCCATAACGCTTAACTTCCTCATAGATCAGAAATCTGTATAATTCAGCCTTGAGTATTTTCAATTACCCAGCCTCCATTATTGTCGGGGGAGGAGAATTCAAAAGATTTATGACCCTCTGGGAGAAGAAATACCTCCTCACCTTCATCTTAAATGGGACACCCTTTAGGATGTGCTGTTTAATTCTAGATTTCCTCACAGGGGAAACATCCTCTCAGCTTTACTGACAAGTGCCCTCAAAATCTGTTTCAATGAGATTACTTCTTGTTCTTCTGGACTCCAATGAGTATTGGTGCATCCTTCTCAATATTACCTCATAAGACAAACCTTTTCATCTCTGGAGTCACCCAGTGAAGTTTCTCTGAACTGCCTCCAATGTAAGTATTAAAATGGAGACCAACATTTTAGATGGGTGAATTGCAGTTTTCTTAATTAAATATCAGGAAAAATAAAGTAGCTGTCTTCAGTCCCCACTATAAATTCTATTTCAACTGGTACACTCCTCCTTAGCCATTGTCTCCTCCTGAACAACAAACTCAAGGTCCTACTTAATCCTGAACCAAGCTATTGACTGAATATTTGCTCCATTAGCAAGGCCACCTACATCCACCGTGACAACATTGTATGTCCTCGTGACTACCTCAGCTCGTCTGTGCTTCTGCTATTTCCCTGTACCTTCAGCTCATGTAAAGCTCCTCACTCTAAGTCTCATTCAACATCACTTCATGTTTGCTGACTTACATTATCCCCCAGTCAAGCAATGGCTTAGACTTTTAGAATTCTGGTCAGAATGTGAAAACCCTCACCTTCCCCCTCTCCCTAATCTCCTTCAACTCTCATCGCTGTATTCTTCCAATTATCGTCTTGTGCACCTTCCACTTTATTCCCCTCAACAGTGGCAGTTTTGCCTTTAGCTGTATGCATCATAAGCTCTGGAGTTCCCTTCCAAAATCTCTCCATCTCTCTCTTCCTTCAAGGAACTCTTTGAATCTAATGTCATTGATGGAATCTTTTGTCACCCATCCTATTCACTCCATTTACTTTGTACACTCTTCTGTGTGTAATGTTGTAGAAGGCTTTACTTGAAAGAGGCAAGTCATTGCTTCATGTGGCAATGCCCTGAATCAAAGGTGATCTGATGACAACCTTTGGTGCCCTTGACGTATGAGAATCACTTGCTGTACATTCTCGCTGTCCTGCAGGGCAGTTATCTTTGGTGCCAACAATAAACTAGGGTGGTATTGTTTTGGAGCCTGTATATGTGTCTGTGTGTTCCATCCTCAATGGTTCGGAGAGAAACGTATTGTAATCTCCGGAATTATTTTGCTTCATGTAGAAATCATTCTGCTGTCTGCCCTTCTCCCTGCAGGAGCTGGCTCTGCAGCCAAAGGATGACATAATTGACCGAACAAAAATGGAGGATACACTAAAGCGAAGGTTCTTCTATGATCAGGCTTTTGCTATATACGGAGGTAGGAGGACCTGTCCCTGAATGCCTGGTCATTTGTACAAACGTATGTAATTGACAGAGAGGCAGAGACCAGCTGGTTTATAGAGCCTGCCTCTGTCTTTGGAGGTGGGAGATCCCCCTCTTCTACCACCAGCCATTCCTTCATTGCTGCTGGATCAAATCATGGAATTCCCCCTCTAACAATGCTGTGGGCATCCTTATTTCCCAAAGACTGCAGCTCCACCACCTTCTCAAGGGCAATCAGGGACGGACAATCAAGACACAGCACGGTCGCTCAGTGGTTAGCACTGCTGCCTCACAGCGCCAGGGACCCGGGTTCGATTCAACCCTCGGGCGACTGTCTGTGTGGAGTTTGCACGTTCGCCCTGTGTCTGCATGGGTTTCTTCCGGGTGCTCCGATTTCCTCCCACAGTTCAAAGATGTGCAGGCTAGGTGGATTGGCCATGGAAAATTGCCTGTAGTGTTCATGTGTAGATTAGGTGGATGGGTCGGTGCGGACTTGTTGGTCCGAAGGGCCTGTTTCTACACTGTAGGGATTCTATGATCCCATGAACAGAGGAGAAGTGTTTAAGGCATCTTTGATTGAGGGAAGCAAGGAAATATGTAGAAGTGAAGCAGCAATTTAACTGGGTACAATTCCACTTTGATGTTGCAAATCACAAAGTTGATTGGTATCTTTTCTCAGAATTGTGTCTGTTCATTATCTTTATTTTACCTTTCCCCAGCTGCTTTGGCTATATTAAGAGTTTGGTAAAGGAGTACCAGCCTCCTTTCTTTGAGGGATGCTGCTGAACCAGTTTGACTCATCCTTTCAACTATCTTCTTGATCTTGACCCAGGCTTTAACAAATGGAACTTTTAAAATTCCAGTTTCTACATGGCATAGTGAATTGGAGCTGAGGAATACTGGTTGCTGCCTCTTAAAAATAAAGTCTCGGAGTGCAGGCATCTTTGGCAGGGTTGCCTTTTTTTTGCATGTCCCTAAAATCCCCTGATATAATTGAGTGGGTTCCCTTTGAAAGGGAGTTGAGACTCAACCATATTGTAGGTAATTTTCCTTCTTTTATCAAGGACATGAATGAGCCAGTTTTGTTTTTAGCAAGAGCCTGAAACCTCTTTACCGTTTTTATTGAGACTCCAGCTCCAGACTTTTTGAAGAATGGAATTTCTGCCACAGAGTTTGAATTTCTGTTCTCTGGATTATTAATCCAAGACTCTGGTTCAGTAACATGATCACTAAACGACTGTAGTCGTCTAGTGATTGTACCCATTGAGGGGCTGAGATGAGAGCGATCTGTCAGAGCCCCAGCGGAGCAGATTATGGATGAAAACGGTGTGGGTGAGGGATGAATTTGCATCCCAAATGTATGTAATAACTGAGGTCTAATTGTACTTTGGACAGGTGTGAGTGGCCTGTATGACTTTGGTCCTGTTGGCTGTGCTCTGAAGAACAACATCCTGCAGGCCTGGCGGCAGCATTTCATCCAGGAAGAGCAGATTCTGGAGATTGACTGCACAATGCTGACTCCTGAACCTGTCCTGAAGTAAGTAGAATTATATAATGACTACAACACAGAAAGGGGACCATCCAATCAGTTGTGTCAGTGCTGGGTCTCTGTAAAGGCAACTCAGTTAGTACCACACTCTTGCCTTTTCCTTACATCAAATTTTTTGTCTTCAGATCATAATCCAATTCCCTTTTGAAAGCCGTGATCAAAGGTTTCTCCACCACACAGGCAGTGCATTCCAGACCCTAACCATTCACTGTAGGAAAACATTTTTCCTTCTGTCACCATTGCATTGTTTGCCGGTCATTTTAAATCAAAGATTTCTGGTTCTCAGTACTAGCACCAATGGGAACGGTATCCCCCTATCTACTACATCAAGACCCCATGTGATTTTGAGCATCTCAAATCTCTCAACCTTCTCTCCTTCAATCTCATTAATGATTGGAGATGCTGCAAAGGAAAAGGGAATGATAATGGAACAACTCGAAAAACAAGCTCAGACCAGAGGAGCAGTAAGTGACATCTCGGTAACATTAACATTACCACTACACCACCATATCCCTATAGGCTCATGTCATGGCATGAATAAGCCAGAGGTCCAGTCTAATTTTCTGAGCACACAGGTTCAAATCTCACCAGGACAGCTCCTGGTGTTTCAATTCAGTTAATCCAAATAAAAATGAGCAGCTTGTATTCATGTGCAGCATAAGCTAGGCAGCAACATTTAGGCAATGACCATCTCAAACAAGAAAGAATCTAAATATCTCCCCTTGATGTTAAATGGCATAGCCATCACTGAATTTACCACTTTACCTGCAAGATCCCCTCCAAGCGACACACCATCCTGATGTGGAAGTGCATCGCCATTCCTTGAGCGTCACTGGGTCAGAAGACTGAAACACCCTATCAGCATTGTGGGTGTATGAACTGCAGCGGTTCAGGGAGGCAACTCAACAGTGTCGGCTTGAGAGCAATTGAGATGGGCAATAATTGCTGATTTAGCCAGCAGCACTTACATCCTGTGAATGATTTTTAAAAACATCCGGAAGTTGAGAGCTAATTCTCATAAACGGTTTGATGAAAACACATTTGGTTCATTAATGACCTCACCTGATCTGGCCTTAACATGTGACTCGACACAACAATGTGGTTGACTCTGAGATGGGCGATTCAAAGACCATTGGGGATGGATAACAAATGCTGGCCTCGCTAGCAACATCAACACCCCATCAAAGAATTTAGAAAGGGACCACAAGATAGTGAGCCTACATGTCGTGTTTGAGGACCCATTTCAAGGGCTTGCTGATGAACTCTGAGGCCCTGGGAGGATGTGCCAGGAGCCAAGCATACAGTCCTGGTCCTTGTCAATATTTGGATGAGAAATGGGTACCATCTTCCTTCTCTGCAGTTACAGTGGCATAACATTTTGGATTCAACTCAACAGTTAGTGAGCAACTAAAGACAGGGAAGATAGTGTCTCAAAATAACCTTTTTCCCTGAATAATTTTTTCGGTGTAGTGGACAAAGTAGTTGGATAATTCAGTCTAGGTTGTGGAATTCAGCCTCTGGTAATTGGAGTTTGATCTTACGAGCTGTTCTCTGATGGTTAAAACTTTGTCCGAGTTTTCTTGTGTGCTCCTGTGTTCCTCCCAAGTGCTGTTTACGCATCTTAGACATTTCTGCAGAGCTCCCGACCTCCAATTGACAGCCTCTGCATCTGTTTCAGAAAGCTCTGTGCTCAACCAGTTAATACCTGAATCACCCAGATAGCGAGTAGGAGGTATTGCAGACTTGTTTTATTTAAATAGACAGTTCTGTTGGCGTTGACAGAGTTAGCAGAGGGTTGCCTTTAGCCCACTGCTGTCGAGAGGGCAGTTTCATTGTGAGGCAGGGAAGATCGGTAGATTCTGTGATGTGAGCTTTCTGGTGCTGATCTATGTTGCAGAACATCTGGACACGTGGATAAGTTTGCTGACTATATGGTGAAGGATGTGAAGAATGGGGAATGTTTCCGTGCTGATCATCTGTTGAAAGGTAATGGTTTCCATTTGGACTGAGGACTAGGTAATTTCGTGAACGCTTTGTATAGTTGGAACCTGACCTACCTTACCATGTGCTTAAAGTATGTGGAGCCTGTGAGATTTTCTAATCATCTTGTGCAAAAAGTGACACGAATCTGGCACAGGTGGGCCCTGAAACTGGATCTTCTGGCTCAGAGCCAAGAACACTACCACTGCACCACAAGAGCCCACGTGAAACCCTGGATGACACTGTTGACAATTAGTAGCACTTTTGCTATTTCACTTCATTGTGGCCCGGAGCAGTACAGACTAGAAGGAGGCCATTTGGTCCATCTTGTCTATGCTGATTCCTGGTTAAAGCAGTTCACAGTCTATCCTGTGCTTTCCCCGTAGATCAGTCTCTAACCTCCTCTTGCCCTAGCAGTCAGTGATTTTCCTTGTCACTGAAATGTCTGCCTCTACTCATCCTCCCAAAGGCCCAATCTTATCCTTCTCTCCCCCACATCCATCTTCCCCAAAAGGAGAGGACTCTGTGTACTGGTACCTTGCTGTATGATACTCATACTCTCTGAATGGAATATGCTATTGATATACCATTGAGAAAAGATGTGGAAACTATTTGTATCACTCATTGGCAGCCGGTTTCTGTGGGGTAGCTCCAGTCAGTCCAGTCTTGATGCATGAACTAATTTGCCCGACATTGCCTCTACAACTTTGGCGATTTTGAATCATTTTCCATTTTTGTAGCTCATCTGCAGAAACTGATGTCCGATAAGAAGTGCTCAGCGGAAAAGAAAGCAGAGATGGAAAATGTCATCACTCAGGTACAAGAACATGCTTCACTTGCCTTACCCTCTTGAGTCTGTTTTAACCCATCGTCCCCTGGTTTTCTCACTCCCCATCCCAGTGAGTTGTCCATTCCTGTTTGTCCATCAGTCCAAGTCTATCAGTGTGCATTGAGTGTTGTGTTTCCACGATCAATTTGATCAGCTCGATCATTGCAGCGTGGTTTGAATTTAAAGGACCACTTGAAGCGTAACTTTCACAAATTTCCTCTGTTTTTCCTACTCTGCCCTTAATTTTACTCCATACATTCTTGTTTTGAGGGGTATGTTTACACTGGGGTGCAATTCACCATGTGCTGTTTTATGTAACACCAGGGCACTGATGGGAGAGAAGCGAGGTCTTCTTCCCTTGCCTTAGGAACAGGAGGAGGCACTCGGCCTGTTTGGAACTGTAGTGCCCTTCAAATAGGTAATGATCAATATATGATTTCATATCCCTTAATGCCCTTGCCGAACAAAAATCCATTGATTTCCCATTATCACAGCTTCTACAGCCTTTAGGTAGCAGTGATTTTTGGATTCTCACTACCCTCTGCATGTTCTGGGCAAGGTTACTCCATCACCCAAATAGGAATCACAAAGAAACAGTAATCAGATTTGTTTTGTTTTCTCTCATTAGCTGGATAATTACAGTCAACAGGAGTTAACAGATCTCTTTGTGAAATATAACGTCAAGTCTCCAGTCACTGGGAACGATTTGTCTCCTCCTATCTCTTTCAATCTGATGTTCCAGACATCCATTGGACCAGGAGGGAACATGCCGGGGTAAGAAGAGGTGAATAGTATAGATGTATTCAAAGGGAGGCCAGGGTAGCATATGGGGGAGGGTTACAGTGATGGATTTAGATCAGAAAGAGGCTTGAAAGAAGCATAACTACTAACGTGGACTGGTTACCACATATCCTTTATAATCCTTTGTAGTATATGAATGTCTGTGTACAGTATAAGTACAGTACATTCCAATGTAGTGCCCAGTGTACAGTGTAGGGACTGAACATTCCAGTATACCTATTACAGTGTAAGGCCTGTACACACTAATATAATACTAATTGTACAGTGTAAAGACTGTGTAATGCCTACCGTATACATAGTAAGAACTGCATATTCAAATATAATGCCCTCTGCACAGTGCAAAGATTGGATTTGCCGATATAATAGTCAATGTACAGTTTGACTATATAGCTACTATGCATAGTATAAGGACGGTGTATGCATATGCAGTGTAAGGATTGTATATGACAATATATGTCACTGTATTGCATAAGAACTGTATACCCTCTCTATGTAGCGTAAGAACTATACCCTCTAGAGTCCTAGTCATAGAGTCATACAGCACTGAAACGTCCATGCTGACCAAGTTTCCCCAAACTAAACTAGTCCCCCTTGCCTTTATTTCCCCCATATCCCTCTAAACGTTTCCTATTCTTGTAGTTGTCCAAATGTTTTTTAAATGTTGCACTGTATCTACATCTACCACTTTTTCCTCTAGCAGTTTAATCCACATACTAATCAGCCTCCGTGTGAAAAAGTTGTCCCTCTGGTCCTTTTTAAATCTTTCTCCTCTCACCTTAAAAATATGCCCCCTAGTTTTGAACTCGCCCATCCTAAGGAAAAGACCTTTGCTATTCACCTTATCCATGCCCCTCACGACTTTATAAACCTCTAAGGTCACCACTCCAGCTTCTACACTCCAGTGAAAAAAGTCCCGGCCTAACCAGCCTCTCCTTATAACGCAAACCGTCCACTCTCGGTGACATCCTTGTAAACCTTTTCTGCACCCTCACCCATTTAATAATACCCTCCCTATAGCAGGATGACCAGTACTGTATAAAGCACTCCAGAAGTGGCCTCATCAATGTCCTGTACAACCTCAACATGACTTTACAACTCCTGACCTCCTTTCTCTGAACAATAAAGGCTAAACACCATCTGAACCACCCTGTCTACCTGTGATGCAACTTTCAAAGAACTATGTACCTGAACCCCTAGGTCTCTTCATTCAACAACACCTCCCAGGGCCCTACCATTAACTATATAAGTCCTGCCCTTGTTCATTTTACCAAAATGCAATATCTGGCATTTATCCAAATTAAACTCCATCTGTCACTCCTCAGCCCATTGGCCCAATTAATTAAGATCTGTTTGTAATCTTAGATAACCTTCTTCACTGTCGACCATACTGCTAGTTTTAGTGTCGTCTGCTAAGCGTGTCTTCTAATTCTAATCTATATAAATGACAAACAGGGGACCCAGCACTGATCACTGTGGAACACCGCTGGTCACAGGCCTTCTGTCTGAAAAACAACCTTCCACCACCACCCTCTGTCTCCTTCTGTCAAGCCAATTTTGTATCCAATTGGCAAGCTCTCCCTGAATCCCATGCGATCTAACTTTAGCAATCAGTCTACCATGCAGAATATTATCAAAGGCTTTACTAAAGTCCATGTAGACAATGTCTACCACTCTGCCCTCATCTATCTTTTTGGTTACGTCCTCCAAAAACTCAATCAAGTTTGTGAGATACGATTTCCCGTGCACAAAGCCATGCTGACTATCCCTAATCAATCCTTGCCTCTTCAAATGCTGATGTCAGACTCACTGGTCTGTAGTTCCCAGGCTTCTCCTTACAGCCTTTCTTAAATAAAGCCACAACTGTAGCTACCCTCCAGTCTTCTGGCACTGCACCCGTGGCTGTAGATGATACAAATATCTCTGCTAGGGGCCCTACACGTTTTTCCCTAACTTCCCATAATGTCCTGGGACACACATGATCAGGTCCTGGAGATTTATCCACCTTTGTGTTTCAAGACCTCCAGCATCATCTCTTCTGTAATGTGGACTGTTTTCAAGACATCATTATTTATTTCCCCGAGCTCCCTAGCCTCCATGTCTTTCTCCACGTCTTTCTTTCTCTATACGTAACATAAAAACCGTACCCCCCCCTATATGTAGCATAAGAACTATACACCTATATTAGCGTTAGAACTGTAAGGACTACATTCCAATCAAATGGCCACTGTGCAGCATAAGATCTAACATAAAGTGTACATTATGTGAGGATTGTACATACCGATATAATTCCCACTATTTGAAGTGTTAGGACTGTATTCTAACCACTATGTACAATGTAAGAACTGAATGTTTGTATATAATGCTCAATCTGTATGGTGTAAGAATTGTACAATCATCTAGTGTCTCTTGTAGATGATTAAATGTTGTATTGAATGTATTCACATCCAAACATCAAAATAGAAGCTGGAGCGGGGTTAGGGAGGAACATTTAAGTCAATCTGTCTGCATTGTTCAGCACAGTGAGTTTCTTATGGTGGAGTTACCACGTAGAGACTGATTTTAAACTCCCCTAGCTTTTATTTTCAGATACCTCAGACCAGAAACAGCCCAGGGAATCTTCCTGAACTTTAAACGACTTCTGGAGTTCAACCAGGGAAAGCTTCCCTTTGCTGCTGCACAGATAGGAAATTCGTTTCGGAATGAGATCTCCCCCCGATCAGGGCTCATCCGTGTCAGGTAAGGGCTCCATCTCTCGTTCTTGTTATTGTTCCGCTTGCTGCTTCTTGCTTGCTAGCTAGTTTTGCTCTTCTGCCATCTCTTTTGACCAACTGGGCCAGTGGGCTGAGGAATGTCAGATGATGGAGTTTGATTTACATAAATGCAAGCTGTTGCATTTTGGCGGGTCAAACCAGGGCAGGACTAATAGAGTCAATGGTAGGGTCTTGGGAAGTGTTATAGAACGAAGATCTAGGGGTACGGGTTCATAGCTCCTTGAAAGTGGAGTCACAGGTAGACAGGGTGTTGAAGAAGGCTTTTGGCATGCTTGCTTTCGTCGGTCAGAGCATTGAGGATAGGAGTTGGCATGTCTTGTTACAGCTATACAAGACATTGGTGAAGCCACATTTGGAGTGCTGTGTGCAGTTCAGATCACCCAGTTCTAGTCATTCTCCGAGATGGTGGGATTGTCTTATAAGGACATGTTGAGGATCCTGGATCTGTATTCTCCAGAGTCTCAAAGAATGAGAGATAATATAATTGAAATTCAAAATTCTTGGGCATGACAGGATGTTTTCTTTGGGTGGTGAGTCTAGACCCAGGGGGCATGATCTCAGGACAATGGGCAGGTCATTTCAGACTGAGCTGAGGAGGAATTTCTTCACTGATGGTGGTGAGTCTTTGGAACTCTTACTGTGATACAGCCGTGGAAGCTCAAACATTGAGCACATTCATAATCAAAATCGATTTATTCTGGGTGACTGATGGCATTAGGGGATGTGGTGATATGTGGGAGGCAATGTCACCAGACTAAAGATCCAGATACCCGAACTAATGTCCTGGAGACGTGGGTTAGAATCCCACCACTGCAGATGGTGAAATTGGAATGTTATAAAATCAGTGGGAGAAAGTGCATTGAGGTAGTGGGTCAGCCATGATCTAACAGAATGGTGCAGCAGGCTAAATGGCCTACTTCTGTTCCTATGTTTCCTATGATGGAGTTAAGATACTGACCATCCATTACACTACTGAAGGGGAGAGCAAGTTCACGGGGCTGAATGGACTCTGCCTATTCCTTTGGCCACTCGGTGCTTTCCTGTGAAAACCTGTGATAAAATAACTACAGGCACAATAGGCAATTCATTCCTTCAAGGTCGTTTTACCATTCTATGGAATCATGACTTCTCCATGCCTTTGTTCCGATCTTCCTGTCAAATGGTCTCTGCTTGATGTTAGAAGACACTTATTGACTGGTCTTAATACAGAGCCCATTTTCTGATTGAATGATGAAACAGTCTCAAGGGGCTGAATGGACCACTTCTGTTTCTATGTCATTACCCTTGGGGGAGCCAATTCGTTATGGTTATAAACCCCACCATGCTCCAATTGTGAAATTAATCTCGGTAACCTGGTGATTTGTTGGGTATCCATGCTTTTTGCTTTTTCGTTCCAGGGGTGTGGTTGCCACTGGCTGGGCCAGCATTTATTGCCCGTCCCTAATTGCCCTTGAAGGTAGTGATATGCTGCCGTCTTGAACTGCTGCAGTTATCCGAGTTTGGGTGCACCCACAGTGGTGTTCCAGAGGGAATTCCATTATTTTAACCCAGCAACACTGAAGGAACGGAGATATATTTCCAAGTCAGGATGGTGAGTGGTTTGGAGGGGATCTTGCAGGGTGTGGTGTTCCCATGTATCTGCTGCCCTTGTCCTTCTAGATGAAAGTGGTTGTGAATTTGGAAGGTGCTGTGGAAGCAAATGCAACAGGCTCATGGATGGTTCTGAGGAGAGGGAGGCTCTGATAGCCTTCCCAAGGCTGAGCTACAGCACGTAATCAGTGGAGGAATACATTGTACTGAGACAGAGGTGTTTAGGAATGAGAAATTCTGTGTTGCGAATCTAAAAATCCTCCTTGCTGTTCAGAGAATTCACGATGGCAGAAATTGAGCATTTTGTGGATCCCAATGAGAAGACTCACCCTAAATTCGATGCTGTGGCAGATTTGCAGATCCTGCTGTACTCCAGCCAAGCTCAGATCAGCGGGCAGTCAGCACGGACCATGCGACTCGGCGATGCTGTTGAACAGGTACCATTCTTGTCTCTGTGAATGTAAAAGCGAGTCTGGCTAATGTGCTCTGTTCTGGTCTGTGTCTTTAACCAGAAACACTGGGTTCTTTGTTGAGATTGTCACCAGCCCTGGATCCAGGGGATTTGGAAAAGGCGGAGAATGGTTGGTTTCACTAATGTCAATTGATGGAGTGCGAATTTGATCTTTTCCAGTCACAACTTGTTTGGTAGAATGGGAACTGGGAGCTTACAGATATACTGGGACTACCAGGAAGGTGGCAGGCGGCAGCAGGGGTTGAAGGTCTGGGAGCATTTGTACGGGTGCTGGGAGGAAGTAGGGTGTGTTTTCTGGATTTATTGCAGGGTTACCCCCTGGACTCGGTTGCTCTGTCTCTCACTGTCTACTAACCTTGTCTCCTGTTGCAGGGCATCATCAATAACTCAGTCCTCGGTTACTTCATCGGACGGATTTACCTTTTCCTGCTGAAGGTGGGCGTGTCGGCTGGGAAGCTGCGTTTCCGGCAGCACATGGACAATGAGATGGCGCACTACGCCTGTGACTGCTGGGATGCTGAAGCCAAAACCTCTTATGTAAGTGAGGCTTCCGTCGGTACCAAGACCCAGGGTGGGCAACAGAAGAGCTTTGTTCCATACTGCTGTCTGTTTAAAGAAATTCCCTGTCACCGTATCACTTTCTGTCAGCGAACCAGTTCTGTTTGTTTTGTTCAGCTGTTGCCCGGCTGCCACTTTCTCCTGAAGGCTCACTCCCTTTACTGGCTGCTGGATCTCAACCGCCACAATTTGTCAGAACAGCTGCTCTCCCCAACTTCAATATTAAACCAAAATGGAGGAAGCAGATAGTTGGGGGAAAGGGGTGGGGGGATGTGGGGGCAAGCAGACCAATTTGTTACAGCCCCCTTCCTTCCTGAGATTAACCTTCAGTTTGAGTAGTACTCAAGTTTTGCTGTGACTCCACTTCACGGTGTTTGCTGTGGGTAGAACTGAGCTTAATCCACATGGGATCTGTCTATTGTAACTTCAACCACTGTAAATACTGCTAACTTTCCTCCCATTCCCTCCTTCCCCAGTGGATATAGAAACCACCACATGGTTTCGATGTTACAGTACACATCAACAGTTTGATTTTTGGCTAAGTTACCCAAAATTACGCCTCAAGGGATGGGGAGCACGACTTAATAAATGAACGTAAGATTCGGCTCAGTCATTGTCTGAGTGAATGGCTATACCTGACTCTGAATCTCCCCTTCCCATCCTCGTGACAGCCAGTGCCATGAGTTAAAATCATATTTCATTTGGGGCTGCCAGGCAAGTATAGTTTGAAGAATTTGCTGCTGTAATTGTGGTTTTATTGAGTGACAATCTGTAGGAGTGATTGGATATCGTGTGTTTCTCTGCTGCATGCACTCACACTCCTTTCATCTCCCCCAATGTGTCTGCAGGGCTGGATCGAGATAGTTGGCTGTGCTGATCGATCATGCTATGATCTCGCCTGTCATGCCAGAGCCACCAAAGTGCCCCTAGTGGCTGAAAAGGCTTTGAAGGAGCCTATATCCTTTCAACAGCAAGAAGTATTGCATACCATGTTCAGAGGAGTTAGATCAGAGTGATGTAGCTCTCCACATTACAATTAGTGTGAGACAGACTGCAGAGACTGTCCCTCACTACAGTGACTTTGCCCACTGAAAACTGCTTCTAGGTCGGTATTAAATCAGCAGTCAATCAAACTCAGAGATGCCAAGTGACAGCTCACTGGGAATGTTCTCTGATATTATTCTGCTGCTTGCCAGGGGTGGGGCTACTCCTGTTTGGTTGGTCTTGGGAGAGTGCAGAGTAGGCCTTAGTTCTGTGATGGATCAAGCTTCACCTCTCCTAAGGGGTGCTCGATTCCTAAGTCGGAAACACCTCAGCTCTTGACCTTGACCAGTGCTGAATTCTCAGTGCTGTTAAAAAAGCCTGAGGACTCAAGGCCAATATCAAAAGTGAGACTTGACAAAAGATAGCAGTTGCCAGGAGTGGATAGACTTTGGGAATTATGTGCACTATGACCTATCCTTAACTTCGACACACAAAACTGTCAACATTGTTCAGTTCGAACCGAACAAGGGAGCTATCGGCAAAGAATTCAAGAAGGAAGCCAAGATTGTGATGGAGTTCTTAAATATCTGTGATGAGTGTTACATCGTAGCTATGGAGAAGGAGCTGAATGAAAAGGGGTAGGTTTCCCAAAATTGCCTTTTTAGCTTTATTGTTTCATGCAATGTGGGCATCGCTGGCAAGGCCAGCATTTGTTGTTCTTTCCTAACTGCCCTTGAACTAAGGGGCTTGAGCAACCCCCCTCCCCCCCACCCATTCCCAGAGGTTGGGAGGAGCAGAGAAGAAGGGACAGAGCTGTGTATCGTTAGTCTCAGCCCGCACTGTTTGTTCATTACAGCTCCATGCTAAAGTGCTTCAGACTGGGACTTTGTAAAAGTTGCAAAGCAAAAGTGGCCAGGTGTGTCACTGAGCTTGGCAAATGAGGAGATAGTGAGGGTCTAATGTTCCGGTGTCAATTTTGTAGCAGGTCCCAGCTCACTTCTACCTGTTGTCAAAGTCCCTGGCAATTCCCCCTCATGCCCGCGTAAACGGGAGAAACCTGTCAGGCCTGCTCCACCATTCACTGAGGTCCATATTCACTTGGTGTTTGACCCAAGCCCCTGTATCTGTGGAGCCGGAACTCTCCAAGTTCAACCCTGCTCACTATAGGCTGAGAAGCACTGAGAACTATCTTTGATCTGGGTGTAGCCAGTTTGTTAAGACTGTTAACAGGGTTTGTGATGGGAGGTTAATGTTTCTTTATCCTTCTTTCCAGGGAGTTCACTTTTACGTCAGAAGGGAAAAGCTTCACTCTGCACAAGAGCATGGTTGGAGTGAAGAGGTTTCAGAAAACTTTACATGGTCAGCGGAATGTGCTTTTATTTCCAAGTTAACCCCCAATTATTTTATGGTTTTTTTCTCAGCATCTTTATTTTATCTCTTCCTTTATAGACTGTTGTGCAGATTCCTTTCATTGTAAATAGTGTCTGTCAAGATGTGGAGATGCCGATGTTCGGCTGGTTTGGATAAAGTCAATAAATCTCACGACACCAAGTTATCGTCCAACAGGTTTATCTGAAATCACAAACTTTCAGATTGCATCCCCCTCATCAGTGTCTGCCAACCCAGCATTCATTATTCCGCTCTTAGTAACCTTGTGATTCTGTCCTCATGGAAACCATTTCTACTTCTCAGTCCTGTCAGCTACTCCGTAAGCTTGGTGGCCAGAAGATCCAGATATAACACCATATTAATAAGGTCGTCATTAAAAAAACATCCTGGTGCTTGAAAGCGGAAGTTTTAGCCTGCATTGTCTTGCTGTAAATATAAATTACAGTCTCTGCCTTTCTCCCAATTCCCTCTCCAAGGGCAGTTCACACTAGTGTCCAGACTGAACATGGCAGTGTCCTGCTGAGTAACCGCTGTCTCTGCTCTGGTAGTCATTTTGCGTTTGGATCAACTGCTCAAAGGCCCCCGTTACAGCCTCAACAGATGTCAGTTTGCACTGACATGGTTCATTGTGATAAGGTGGTACACTCAGTCCTGCTTTACCTTGTCTGGGAGCCATCTGGAGCTGAGCTGACCGTAAGGGGTTAATTGAGCTCAGATAATAGATCAAAGACCCTGGCACCTTTCTGTCCTGTACTAGAGAATATGCCTGGAGCAAGCCTGTGGTTTGCAGCATAAACTTCTTGCTTTTGTAATCTCCCTCTGTATTTAAGCCCATGATCTTGAATGATGTTTTTCCTTAACAACCTCCTCAACCAGCTCTGTTACCTTCAAAGATTTGTGTGCAGATATCCCCAGTACAGTGTCATCTGTAGATAGGAAGGTAATAACTGTCGACAGGCTGCTCTTGCTCCCCAGTCTGACCATCACTGACACTTTGTCTTTGGGAAATATTACGTGTAAAATGTGGCAACATTATGTTATTGCCAGGCTGCTGCATTTATGAGAATGTCAAACATACAAGTGATACAGGGGCTTTTGTGGCGCAGTGGCAGTGTCCCTACCTTTAAATTTAAAAAATCACCGGACAGAGCGATTCCTGTCAATATCTTCAGCCATGAGCTGAATCACTTTGAAAATGCAGAAGCCTGGGCAGCCAAATGTAACAAATCACTCTGGGCAAAGCAAGTACTGACAAATAATGTGTGTTTAAATGAACTTTGTTCAGGTGTGGCATCACAAGTGGGCCGCTCCCTACAGCTGCATCTGAAATGACTGCCACGAGTGTCACGAGACGGTATGCCATTGTGAAATGTTCTGTGGGAGGGGGTCCCTGGTCAGGGGTTTCGCTTGTTTCGCACTTATTCACACTAATGAATCTGCTTTTGTTGTTTTTGGTGTTTCAGTGGAAGAAGTCACTCCCAGCGTGATTGAGCCGTCCTTTGGTATTGGAAGAATTATGTACTCGGTTTTTGAGCATACCTTTCATATCCGAGAAGGGGATGAGCAGAGAACAGTAAGTCTGCGCATTCTCCCAGTGCGACACCATTGCCAAGAAAGGGAGAGGGGAACAGGAGGAGGCAGGCACACTGAGTGAGGAGGAGGATGTGGAGAGATAGAGAAAGGGACAAAGAGAGTAGGAGAAAACAAGCACGGAGCACGGAAGTAAATTTTAAATTTCTGATGTTGCAGATGGAGGGGAGCAGCAGGCTCTTTTGGTCATGACCGGCTGATGTAGAATTGGATAGGAGTCTCTCAAAGTTAGAAGGGGACTGGAGGCTGGCCAAGAGAGAGCATTGAGTGTGATGGTGACTAAGATATGAATCTTAACTCATCCCTATTCATTTATTTTGAGTGTGGAAGTGACAGGTTGTTTAAGGCACCACTGGATAACCTCATCTCCTGGCTTAGGAAGCCCAGCTGCTTGAGTCTTTCTAAGTAATCCACGGTGTGGCACTGCATTATCTTTGGGGTTGAATGTCCTTTTTCGGTTCATTCACGGGCTGCGGGCATCACGGGCTGGACCAGCATTTATTGCCCATCTCTACTTGTCCTTGAGAATGTGATGGTGAGCTGCCTTCCTGAACTGCTGCAGTCTGTGCGCTGTACGTAGACTCTCAATGTCGTTAGGGAGGGATTTTCTGAATTTTAACACAAAAAAGCTTGGTTTCTATCTTGGTATCCAGGATCTGAGCTGTTCTCAGTTATCACTGACTGTATTGCTGCTTGGTTATTGCAGCATGGAGATCTCTGAACCTTATCTCACAGATTTGGCCCATCATTCCTGTGCTGGCCCTTTGAAAGAATGATCCAGTTAGTTACATGTTTATCTTCCCCTTTGTAGTGTTTCTCCTCTGCAACTACACAACCATGTTTTGTTTTATTTTTGTTTGGAAGAGGTTCCAAATACTCAGCAAGCCAGACTGGTCTTTCACAGACCCTCCCAGCCACTGCCCATATTAGGAGTGTGAGGTTCTGTTGCAATAGAAGAGAGCTTGATCTGCTCAGTGTGCGGTACCCCACTCTGAAACTGTTTGGGGGCTTGCAAAAGAAAGTAGAAGTGTAGGAAACAGAGAAAGTGAGCAAATTAGCAGTGAAATGGTGCAAAGAGAGTAAGAAGGAAACAAAACACATAGAGACTAGGAAGATATAGGAGAATTAATTATTAGTTTGATATAACTGGAAAAGAAATCATGGGCTGATAAATAATATTTACACAATGAGATGATGAACTATGCTGCTTGTCAGGGTGATGGTAGAAGATTCAGTAGCTGAAATGGAAAAAACTGACAGGGCTGTGAGGAAAGAGGAGAAGTGGGACTATTGGATATCTCTTTCAAAGAGCTGTCGGAGACATGATGGCTGAATAGTCTCCTATGCTTCAAAATTGTGTGGTTATTTATATGCTACAACAGGGCATGGTTTCAGGTAGCTCAGTGTGATGCAGAATACAGCCACAGCACTGGGGCAATTCCTGTACAGGAACTCCTGTTAGGAGTGGTTACCCTGAAACTGTATGTAACCTGTTATCTCCTTACTGGAGAGAAATACCTATGGTTCTTTGTGGCTTATGGCTAATTACCTGCCTCCCTAAATGTGTAAATATTAATGCAGACATAGCACTTGAGTAAAATTTCAGCAGGGGAATAGAGATTGAAACAGATTGGGAGGGGAATTGGGGACAAATATGACAGCAATGTGGGGACGTGGAAAACTGAATTCTGCCGACACAGTATAATATCTTCACACTCTGGTTTCTGTTTCTTTTGACAGTTCTTCAGTTTTCCAGCGACGGTGGCTCCCTATAAATGCTCTGTTCTGCCCCTCAGTCAGAATCAGGAGTTTGCTCCATTTGTGAAAAATCTTGGTGAGTTGTCAGTCTTTGAACAGCTTGCTGATGAAAATGGAAGTAGTGGAAAGATGGAAAGGCTCGAATTTATGTAGTGCCTTTCCTGTCCTCCAGACATCTTGTAATATTTCGTGGTTAATGAGGGACTTGTGAAGTGTAGACACTGTTTTACTGGAGGAAGCTCTGGTCGTATTGACAGTGATTGGGATCACACCACCTGCCCAGCTCTGTGAGCTGAACGTGATGGTATCACAGCACAGGTCAGCAACTTGACCTTTCACCTCTTGGATTAGATCCAAGATTTGATCTCCAGTAGCTGCAAGGTACCAGTATGTCATAAGATGTGGAGAATTGACAGCTATGTATTATTGAACCAATGATTGATTTTTTCCATTAAGTACAGTCACTTATGTTGTTCAATTATGTCATGTTGTATGGAAATTACATCACAGAATCAGACCATTCAGCCCATCTGATCCATTCTCTGCACGAGCCTGTTCCTAACACCGACCCTTGTGAATCAATTTTCATACTCCTTTCCAATTTAAGAAACCCACTTTAATCCCTACTTTCTGCTACATATATACAGCAAACGTATACATCTTTTATGGCACAAAAATCCAAACAGGAAAAGTGAGTCAACTGTGACTAACAAAGAAAGTTAAATGTTGTATTAGATCAAAGCGAAGAGGCTTATAAAGTTGACAAAAAATGTAGTAAGCCTGAGAAATGGGAGCATTTTGGAATTTAACAAAGGAGGACCAAGAATCTGCAAAGGGCAATAGAATATGAATTCAAATTAACAGGAAACATACAAGTATAAATGCTTGTTTAGGTATGTAAAAAGGAAAACATTAGCAAATACAAAAATGGATCCATTGCAGGCAGAGAAAGGAGAATTTACGATAGGAGATATAGAAGCTAATTGACTACTTTGCATCTGCCTTCGTTGAGAAAAGAAGTCTCCCAGAAATTGTCACTGGTCTCTTGGATCATTACTATGAGGAACCGAAAAAAATTAGTATTAGTAAAAATAGTACTGGAGAAAGGATCGGGACTGAAAGTTGACAAATCCCAAGGGCGTAATGATTTATATCCCAGAGCTGGAAGAGGTGGCAATGGTGATAGTGGGCACATTGGTGATCATTTTTCTAAATTCTGTAGATTCTAGAATTATGCGTGCAAATATAGAGGCAACTTGAATATTTAAGAAAGGAGGAAGAGAGTAAACGGGGAGCCACTTACCCGTTAATCTGTCAATAGTAGAGGAAATACTAGAATATGTTATAAATGATACGACAACTGGACACTTAGAAAAGAATTATCTAATTGGCAAAGTAAACATGGAATTATGAAAAGAGAATCCTATTTTACAAGCCTATTAGATTTTCTAAGAAGGTTACCAGCAGAATAGATAAGTGGAAACCAGTAGATTTGGTGTATTTAGATTTTTAAGCAGTTTTCCATAAAGTTCCACGCAGGATTAATGAACAATGAGTACATGTGGATAGTGGCCACCATACTGGCTTGGATTGAGAATTGGTTAACAAACAGAAAACAGTAGGAATAAATAGTCATTCTCCGATTGACAGGCAGTAACTAATGGCGTACCGTAAGGGTCAGTGCTTGAGCCGCTGTTATTCATAATCTTTATCAATGATTTGGATTCTGGGGCCTAATGTAATATCTCTCCAGGGCCTAATTCTTGTTTATCAAAGTGGTGACTCCAGTTGGGTAATTATACACTTAGGCGAATCCATCTCGGCGATGGGTGCAGCAATATCAGTCACTAATCCCTATTCTCTCTGTACAGTTTTGGTCTCCTTATTTAAGGGGGGAATATTGGAGACAGGTCAGAGGAGCTTCACTAGCCTGATTCCTGGGATGAAAGGAAAAATGAATAGGTTGGAACTATAAACAGAGGAGTTTAGAATGAAGTATCATGTTTTGAATCATGTAAGATTCTGAGGTGGCTTGACAGCAAAAATACTGAGAATGTTTCTCCTCATTGGGGAGTCTAGAATGAGGGGGGATAGTTTCAAAATAATGGATCTCCATTTAACAAGTATTGATAGGAGTCAAAATGCAATATGGGGTGAGGTGACAGACTTGAATGGAGTTGAGCCCATAGCCCAATTGATTATGATCTAATTGAATGGTGGAACAGGCTTGAGGTTGCCAATGGCTAACTTCTTGGGTTCTTCAGTTTTGCTGCATCTGACCATGGATCCCAGGTTCTCTGCTATTTCTACGATACGTGTAGCCCTTTGAGATGAACCTTATCCCTATTAAACAGAATTTTGGCAGCTATCACTGACTCGTGACCTAAAACAATGCAGACAAATGGGAACCCCACCATCTACAACTTCCATTTAAAGCCCCACGCCATTGCGACTTGGAAATGTATTAATCATTTCTTTACTGTTGTTGAGTCAAAATCCTGGAAATCCCTCCCTAACCGCTTGCTGGTGTCCCTAAACTTGGAATTTAATCCAGACAAATGGAAGATCAAATTTAGATGTTAGGTGGATTGGCCATGCTAAATTGCCCGTAGTGTTCAGGGATGTGTAGATTAGGTGGGTTATAGGGGGATGGATCTGGGTGGGATGCTGTGAGGGTCGGTGTGGACTTGTTGGGCTGAAGGGCCTGTTTCCACACTGTCGGGATTCTATGTGAATTATATTGTAAATGGCAGAACTCTTAGGAACACTAACATTCAGGTGGATCTGGGTATGCAGGTCCACAGTTCCCTGAAAGTGGCAACACTGTTGGCCAAGGTGATTGAGAAGGCATATAAGAACATAAGAACCTAAGAACTAGGAGCAGGAGTAGGCCGTCTGGCCCTTCGAGCCTGCTCTGCCATTCAATAAGATCATGGCTGATCCTTTCGTGGACTCGGATCCACTTACCCGCGTTCTCACCGTATCCCTTAATTCCTTTATTGTTCAAAAAAAGTCTACTTTTTTTTAGAAGCGTTTACCGAAGTAGCGTCAACTACTTCACTGGGCAAGGAATTCCATAGATTAACAACCCTCTGGGTGAAGAAATTCCTTCTCAGTTCAGTCCTAAATCTGCTCCCTCTAATCTTGAGGCTATGCCCTCTTGTCCTAGCTTCACCTGCCAATGGAAACATCCTCTCTACTTCTATCTTATCTATTCCCTTCATAATTTTATATGTTTCTATAAGATCCCCCCTCAATCTTCTGAATTCCAATGAATATAATCCCAATCTACTCAATCACTCCTCATAAGCCAACCCCCTCAACTCCGGAATCAACCTAGTGAACCTCCTTTGCACCCCCTCCAGTGCCAGTACATCCTTTCTCAAGTAAGGAGACCAAAACTGCACACAGTACTCCAGGTGTGGCCTCACCAGCACCTTGTACAGCTGCAGCATAACCTCTCTGCTTTTTATTTCAATCCCTTTAGCAATGAAGGACAAAATTCCATTTGCCTTCCTAATTACTTGTTGTACCTGCAGACCTACCTTCTGTGATTCATGCACAAGGACACCCAGGTCCCTCTGCATAGCAGCATGCTGCAACTTTTTACCATTCAAGTAATAATCCTTTTTACTATTACTCCTACCAAAATGTATGACTTCACATTTATTTACATTGTATTCCATCTGCCAGACCTTTGCCCACTCACTCAATGTTCCTCTGCAAAGTTTCACAGTCCTCTGCACACTTTGCTTTGCCACTCATCTTAGTGTCATCTGCAAACTTTGACACCCTACACGTGGTCCCCAGCTCCAAATCATCTATATAAATTGTAAATAATTGCGGTCCCAACACCGATCCCTGCTTGCCTTCATTGCCCGGGGTGTGGAGTAAAATAGTTGGCAAAACATGTTGCAGCTATATAAAACCCTTATTAGCCTGCATTTGGAGTATTGTGTACAGTTTTGGTCACCACGTTACCAGAAGGATGTGGAAGCTTTGGAGAGAGTGCAGAGAAGTTGACCAGGATGTTGCCTGTTCTCGAGGGCATTGTCTATGAGGAAAGGTTAAAAAGACTAGGATTGTTTTCACTGGAAAGACAGTGGCTGAGAGGAGACCTGATAGAGGTCTAAAAATTGAGAGGCATAGATAGGGTGGATAGTCATAGGCTTTTTCCCATGGTTGAAGTTTCAATTACAAGGGGGCACAGGTTCAAGGTCAGGGGGGGGAAGTTTAAGGGAGATGTGCGAAGAAAGTTTTTCACGCAGAGTGGTAGCAGCCTGGAATGTAGTACCAGAAGAGGTGGTGGAAGCGGGCACATTGAAGACATTTAAGAGACACTTAGATGGGTACATGAATAGGGAGGGAATAGAGGGATATAGATTGAAAAATGGCAGGTTTGTTTTTAGATTAATTAGGGCATGATGGTCGACACAGGCTTGGAGGGCCAAAGGGCCTGTTCCTGTGCTGTACTTTTTCATTTGTTCATTTGTAAACTCCAAGAAATTGTGGCAGTTCAAGACAGTGGCTCACTACTGCCCCCTAAAGGGCAGTTTGAAATGGGCAATTGCTGGCAACACCCACATTTGGAGAATTTTTTTTTAAACTGTATAACGTGATAATTTTTCTAACATCATAAAACTGTACATAAGCTCAAAGTTTACTCAGCATGTAACTGAACCAGAGAGGACCAGTTGGAGTTGTCCCTGATCTGTGTGGCATTAGCTGAGCTCAAACCAATCCTCAATATGATCCTGGGAGGGAGAGATACATTTAGCTTCACGATCCATGGGAAAGGCAACTGCGGAGATAAAAGGAGCCTCAGTGAGGGTGGGCCTGCTGTTGTGTTTGCTGACAATGTGACCTTTTACTAATGCTGCTGCCCATCCTGTCTATCTTGCCATCCTCTCTGCAGCTGAAGAACTCACCAAGCATGGTGTTTCCCACAAAGTGGATGACTCATCTGGTTCCATCGGGAGACGGTACGCTAGGACGGATGAGATTGGTGTTGCTTTTGGCATAACCATCGACTTTGACACGGTGAACAAGGTGCCCCACACAGCCACACTGAGGGACCGTGACTCGATGCGGCAGATCCGAGCTGAGGTAGGTTCTAGAAGCAACTTCAGTGTCATGCTACCTCCTCTCTCCATGTATATTGACTGTCCTATAGACAATGAGCATCTCCAGATATCAGCAAGCTCCTGTTAGTATTATCTGTCAAACATGGGAAGCAGCATAATTCTACTGGTGATATAAAACGGTAATACACAGGAACAATTACAGTGACAGCCCCCATCAATAGGAATCTCTTCCCCTTTGGCAGAGTGAGAGCCCCACCACCCTGAAACTCTGTCCCATCACAATTGTCTTCAGCCTCGACTTGGTGTCGCTGCTGCAGCTTTTACAGCAGCTAATCCACCCTGATTCTCCTCAATTCTCAGTTTAGATAAATGTGCCTTGCTAAGTGACATTTCCTGGGGTTGTCAGGGCTTGAAATCTCCTGAGCACTGCAGCCCCTTACTCCCAATCAATCATTGTGTGTCTATCACATATTCACTGTTTTCCTAACTTTAGTTCTGAGCCGACCTTCTCCTCGCAGTTTCTTGTAACTTTGTTTAAATGTTTCTGTGAAGTAATATCACGTTACTGAAGTGATTTTGCACACTGCTGCTGTTTGATCAGGCTTGCACTCGTTGATGTTGCGTTCTTCTGTTCAATTTAAACGTACCAATCACACACAAGCATTGGTGAAGCAATGATGGGCTTTCTTTATTCGAATCGGATGATTGACACATCTTGTCCACTTTGAGCTAAATGCAGTAGATCTGACTTCAACCACTGCTGCTCAGAGTCCCATGTCTCATACATCACGTCCTGCCAAGGTGTAGAATGATTGACAGCAGTTCAAGGTACATGCCCTCAAAGGTACGTACCTCATATCACAGTAGTTGGGAGCTACGTGACCCAAACATGCATGAAGCAGCCTCAAAGTTGTTTCATCATTAGAGAGATGCAACCCTATTTCATTGCGCACACAGGAAAAAGCAGGACGTTAGCACTAGATAATAGTTGATGCAGGCATGATAGGCTGAATGGCCTCCTGCACAGTAATAATTCTGTGATTCAGTCAGTGATCTGTCGTTTTTTTCCACAGATTTCAGAATTGCCTCAAGTTGTCCGAGATTTAGCCAATGGTTCCCTGACCTGGGCTGATATTGAGGCCAAATACCCTTTGTTCGAAGGGCAGGAAACAAGTAAGAAGGAAATTTGAAATGAGAGTCACTTCCCCAATATCTCCTTCTGCCGTCCTCTGTGGAACCCAGATACGTGAGCTGTGTTCTGTACGTTGGTAATACAGGCCCGACTGAAAGAATTAGTGACTGTTATACCTGTGGAAAGACCTCCTCTTACTACAGGAATATGGAAGAATTGAATGAGATTCTGTGCAATAAAACCTGATATTGAACAGGTTGATTGTCTTTCTCTGATCTACTGATCATCTACTTTGTTATTTTTGCAACTGGGCATCTAGTTTACAACTTGATGATGCACTCTGTAAAAACACTCAACAGTTTGATCTGATTTTCCTGTCTTATTGATTTACTGTCTTTTCAGTGAATGCAGGAGATTTCCACAGAGTGAGAGGCAAAGACACTATCACCCAACTGAGGATAGACCTACCAATCTATTCAACTTTAACTCCACGTTATACCACAAAAATAAGTCTCACTAAGTGTAATTAATATTTTGAAATACCCCATGGAATTGATACTTATCAGTATAAAAGGATGGGTAATTAATCTATTCGGGTGCTTTATATATAGAATAATGGATACCTAAGAGTCAGATACAGTCTGCAGTCGAATTGAGGGGTTCAAGTGGTGTTTCCGTAAAATAACGGCTATCCAGGAATGAGCTAATCGTAAGGTCCTGGACAGTGTTGCTGAACAAAGAGACCTTGGAGTTCATTGTTCCTTGCAAGTGGAGTTGCAGGTAGATAGGATAATGAAGAAGGCATTTGGTATGCTTGCCTTTATTGGTCAGTGCATTGAGTAAAGGAGTTGGGAGGTCATGTTGTGCCTGTACACATTGGTTTGGCCACTTTTAGAGTATTGTGTGCACTTCTGGTCTCCCTGCTATAGGAAGGATGTTGTGAAACTAGAAAGGGTTCAGAAAAGATTTACGAGGATGTTGCCAGGGTTGGAGGGTTTGTGCTACGGAGAGAGGCTGAATAGGTTGGGGCTATTTTCCCTGAAGTGTTGGAGGCTGAGGGGTGACCTTAGAGGTTTTTAAAATCATGAGGGGCATGGGAAGGGTGAATAGCCATGGTCTTTCACCCAGGGTGGGGGAGCCCAAAACTAGACAGCATATGTTTAAGGTGAGTGTGGAAGGATATAAAAAGGACCTAAGAGGCAACTCTTTCCACACAGAGGGTGGTGTGTATATGGAATGAGCTGCAAAGGAAGTGGTGGAGGCTGGTACAATGACAACATTTAAAAGGCATCTGGATGGGTATATGAATAGGAGGGGATTAGAGGGATATGGGCCAAATGATGGTAAATGGGACTGGATTAATTTAGGATATCTGGTCAGCATGGATGAGTTGGACTGAAAGGTCTATTTCCGTGCTGAACATTTGAGTTACACACATCTAATTGAGGGGTTCAGTGTAGGTTTCATATATAGAATAACATATCTGTATGTACAGATTAAATAAGGGGATTGCATGGCTTACAAGGCAGACTAATACTCAGGGAAATTAAACTAGGAGCCGATGGCCTCATGGTATTATTGCTGGACTGTTAACCTAGAGACCCAAGTAATGTTATGGGAACCTCAGTTCAAATTTGAATTCGATAAAAAAAATTGAGAATTAAGAGTCTAATGATGACTGAATTCATTGCTGATTGTTGTAAAAACTCATCTGGTTCACTAATGTCCTTTTGGGAAGGAAACTGCCATCCTTACTTGGTCTGGCCTACATGTGACTCCAGACTCTCAGCAATGTGGTTGATTTTAAACTGCTCTCTGGGCAGTTTAGGGATGGGCAATAAATGCTGGACTAGCTAGCGATGCCCACATCGCATAAGTGAATAAAAAATGTCTCGCGTTTGGATGTCACCCAGGGTTTGCTACTGGCTGCAGAAGACTGCTGTGTTGTTGGAGGTCACTTGAGTGAAGCTAAATCCTTGTCCAGAGTGTGTAATGAAGAGAAGCATATTCATGAAGTGGCTAAGGACGCCTGTCCAGGGTAGCCCTAGTAGCCGTATCTTGGCTGTGTGGGGTTTCCAGTTGATCTGACCATCTCTGTGTTGTGTACAACTCCAACTACTGCAAGAATTTGCCATGACCAACCATTTGGTTAAATGTTGCCATTATGAAAATGGTACAATTAAATATTAAAACTGGGTTGGGTCAGTGTAGACCCTGGGATTGGATCATATAAATGGTCAAGAGAACCACACAATCACTGAGATAGACGTTAACATGGAGAAACTACTGGGACAACTGGTGTTTCCAATTCATGTAACTGGCCTGCATTGAGAAGCTGAATGTAGCAATGTTGGAATTGGAAGAGGCAACTTGGAAACTATGGAACAGGGTGGACCAGATGTAAATGTGGGAAGGACAAAAAACATGAAGTTGCTAGAGATACATTAATTGCTAAAAGATTAGAAGTTTGAGCTTTTCATCTTGCACTCATTAGAACTAGAATGTAAGAAATAGACTTAGGGAAAACAAAGAAATTGTTTTATGCAGCAAGAGAGTGGTGCTAAATGGTTGGACCATCATTGACATGGTGATGCAGCAAGAACAGTTAAATGTCCATCTTAATTCTCAGACCAGGCTGTAGATTCTGTTTGGCTGTCTCTGTGACTGTTTTTTCTTAAAGGTGCAATGTACTGTACAAATTGCTTTTGCTTACATAAAACAAGGTCCTGAGTATTTTTATACATAGCTTCTAGTAGACACACATGTAACACACTTAGCAAATAAGTCACTAGAGAGATAGTTGATTCTTCGGTTTTAATTGTCCAAAATACCCTTAATTCAGGCAAAATTGCATTTGCTTGGGAAATAGCAAATGTAACTCCTTTATTACCACAAAAAGCAAGAAATTCAGGCCAGTTAGCTTAACATCTGTCTGAGGGAAGATGTTAAGCTATTTTTGAAGACTCAGCAGACACTTAGAAAGGTTCAAGGGAATCAGACAGTCAATATGATTCTGTATAAGGAAAAGTCTGTATGACCAATCTTGAAGTTCTTTGAGGAAGTCCCATGCTATGGTTAAGGGAGATGAGTCACAGGAATAAGTGCTGGGGTCTTAATTCTTTACAATTTACATAAATGACTTGGATGAAGGAATTGAAGGCATGTTTCTTAAATTTTCTAGTGAAACAAAGATGATAGTAAATTGCAAAGAGAAATGCTTGCCTTTATTGGTCTGTGCATTGAGTATAGGAGTTGGGAGGTCATGTTACAGCTGTAGAGGACATTAGTCAGGCCGCTATTGAAATACTGTGTGCACTTCCAGTCTCCCTGCTATAGGAAAGATGATGTGAAACTTGAAAGGGTTCATAAAAGATTTACAAGGATGTTGCCAGGGTTGGAGGGTTTGAACTATAGGGAGGGGCTGAATAGGGTGGGGCAATTTTTTTTTGGAGCATTGGAGGCTGAGGGGTAACCTTATAGAAGTTTATAAATCATGAGGAGCATGGATAGGGCAAATGGAAAGGTCTTTCCCCTGGGGTAGGGGTGTCCAAAACTGGAGGTTTAAGGTGAGGTTGGCAAAATTTAAAAGGGACCCAAGGGCAATTTTTTTTACGCAGAGGGTGGTGTGTGTTTGGAATGAGCTGCCAGAGGAGGTGGTGGAAGCTGGCACAATTACCACATTTAAAAGGCATCTGGATAGGTATATGAATAGGAAGGGTTTAGAGAGAGATGGGCCAAATGCTGGCAAATGGGTATAGATTAATTTAGGATATCTGGTTGGCATGGACAAGTTGGATCAAAGGATCTGTTTCTGTGCTGTACACCTCTATAACGCTAGGACATCAGGATGCTACAGTGGGAAATAGATTGTGTGATTGAGAAAAGATCTGTCAAAAGGGATAGAAAGTTGGAAAATGTGAAATTGTCATTTTTGCATAAAGACTTAAATGGTGAAAGATTGCAGAGCTCTGAGATGCAGAGGGGTCTGGGTGTCCCAGTGCATGAATCACAAAAGATTAATATGCAAGTACAGGAATTAATTTGGAAAATGAATAGAATGTTATTTAGTACAAGGGGAATTGAATATAAAAGCAGGGAGGTTATACTTCAGTTCTGTAGGGCACTGACCATATGTGGAGTACTGAGTACATTATTGGTCACTGTATTTAAGGAAAGGTGTAAATGCTTTGGAGTCAATTCAGAGAAGACTAGATTGAAACAATATCAAAGGAAAAATGAAACACTGAACGAGACTCTTACTGACCTACGTTTTATACTTACTACAGGCACAGAAAACTGTAATGATTAATTACTGAGAGTTTATTTACTGGAGAAAATCTAGATGTCAAAAGTCTGACGCAGAACACTTAAGAACATTCTGAGAAGCTATCAATCAAAATATCTAGGGCAGAGAAATCTGCCAATCACACAAATAGTTGAAGGGATAGTGATGGAAATCATTAAAAACCCACCTCATTCAGGCAATTCTTTGGAATGACAAAGAAATCAATTCAGATTAAACTTACCTTATGTCGCACATATTAAAAGTTCTTCTGTCCCATCATTGTTAGCAACACAGTGATAGATCATAAAGAGTGGTTCTTCAGGAACCTTCTGCCAACCTCATATAATACTGTGAAAGATAACCGTTGACCCCACTGTGAACATTTTCACTCATGACCCCTAGTTGGACCAAATTGAGATGAAACAGTAGAGTTCTTAGCCATCATGGAATCTGGGAATAGTTGGAATGTTCCACTGACAAATATTTAATGGAATTTATAGAGGACATTGAGGACTTAGAACAACTGTTAGCAGTTTGGGTCATAGAGTGAGCACTATGTCCTCAGCATATACTACATAAAATATAATTTGGTGATTAAGATGAATCAGTGACTTCTAATCCATTGTTAAGGGGTCCTTCGATCTGTCTCCTTCTGGTGCCAGATCTCCAAATTCAGCTGGATGTTTGTAAATATTTCTGACAGGGTGTTGCTACCTGACTGTCCTGCAGATTGTCCTGCTCCCATTGGAATGGCCAATATGATCTAGTGGTATTATCACTGGACTGTTAATCCAGAGACCCAGATAATGTTCTGGGGACATGGGTTCGAATCCCACCACAGCAGATGGTGGAATTTGAATTCAATGAATCTCTGGAATTAAGAGTCTAATGGTGACCATGAATCCATTGCCAATTGTCAGGAAAAAACAACCCCTCTGGTTCACTAATGTCCTTTAGGGAAGGAAACTGCCCTCCTTACCTAGGCTAGCCTACATGTGACTCCAGACCCACAGCAATGTGGTTGACTCTTAACTGCCCCCTGGGCAATTAGGGATGGGCAATAAATGCTGCCTAGCCAGCGACACCCTCATCCCGTTAATGAATAAAAAAAAATGGGAAAACTGAACAAGCTGGAGGGCCACACTCATGAGAGAGCCCACAACCCCAGCCCCAGACTACAACCATCTCACCAACTGTCCAGCTCAGAACTCACCCTCAGGAACTGTCTTTTGCTCTATCCTCATTGATCAATCTTAATGAAAACAAGGTGGGCATTTTCTCCCATATCTTGTTAGGTTTGGTTATCACCAAGGAAACCTGGGGTTCTGAGGTCAAAATGGTCATCCAATGTTGATTGTTGCTAAGAATACATCTGTCAAAGCTTCATTCATACTTTTGTTACATCTAAACAACTATTCCAGCTCAGAATCTTTGAAAATATCTGTGCTTCTCTAATTCTGAACTCTTGAGCATCACTGATTTTAAATAGTTCACCATTGGCAGGCATGCCTTAATTGTCAAGTCCATATACTCTGGAATGCTCTCCCTAAACCCTCTGTATTTTTCTCTTTTAAGATGTTTCTCAGAAGCTACGTCTTGGGCAAAACTGTCAGTCAGCTAACCTCATAACGTGGCCTCAGGTCAATTTGTTTCATATAATGTCCCTGTGAAGTGCTATGGGGCATTGCATTACATTAAAGGCACTTTATAAATATACGTTGTTATTGTGGCACCAAAAAAAATTCCGTGACTTGCCAAGTATCCACTTGGGGCAGACATTTGATCAGTGCTAGGGCCAGGTATCAGTCAGAGATCAAAACACGCATCAACAACATTCTGGGGGTGATTTTAATGTCACTGATCCACGGTGGTGGGGGGGTGTGCATTTGGTGGGATCGGGATGTGATGTTGGTCCACAGCCTCCAGTGCACCACACCCCACCCTGATTTTATTGAAATAACTGGAGAAGGAGAATGGGTCAGGATGTGAAATGCGCCATCTGATCCCTGACCTTTCCCATGTGGAGAATTGGCTTAAACTTACCAGCTGGGCCCAATATTTTAAACCTGACTTTAACACAGTTTTATGGAGGAACTGCCTGAACATGAGAATGCAGGAAATACAGGTTCAGAGAAGGTGGTTTTGAAGGTGTATAAGTGCCTCTGACGATTGCTGACCTGGTAAAAAGATATTGTGCCGGCCTCGTAATCCAGTTGGACACGCATCCTGCTAATGGCTGGGTACTTCAGGAGGTAAGTCTGTTGGTTCTTTTGGCAAGCTGTCAGAAACCCGCGGTAGAAATATAAACACCACGACTTAGTGCTGTTGGTGAAATAAGACTCCAGCCCTCCCCGGTCTATGGTCCCGTAGGCCACCCCCACCCCCCAGGCGATGCCTCCTGTCTTCACATCCCAGGAGTGACAGCCAGCCGTGAAACTCTGAGAGCACAGAATCTGGTGCATGTTCTCAAACATGTTGGAGTTGTGCCACGAGTTCTCACCCATGTAGCCGAACATCACTGTCTTCTCATCCTCAGAGACGTTCAGGAGCCAGTAGGCCGAGTCTGGATCCAGAGTCAGCAGCGACCACTGATCTGGTGGAAGGGGAAGGAGACACAACTGGTCAGAAGCTGCCATTCTGTTCTTGCCTCCCCACCTCACCCAATGGATGGCATAGAGGTAAAGACCCCCAGTCAGTCTGCTAACACTGTGTACTCACTGCCATGGCACAGATTGGAACCTATGTAATGTCAATCCTTTAACTATGTTATAACTATCTTATTTCTAACTTATTTTTTAGACACTGTAAGTAATGCTACTTTTCATTTTACTCCTTTTGTATCCAAGAATTGTGCCTAGACACTTGTACCTAAGATGGTGCCATTAGAGGCAGCCATTGTAAAAACTTTTCATTGTACTCCTGTACCTCTGTACTGGAGTACAAATAACAATAAAGGATATTCTATTCTATTCAAAGCATTAGCCTGAAACTTTGAAGTACCACTGTGCTATCATAGCACTTAACAAGAAGTTGAATACCTTTTCAAAATTTATTTATTCTCCTGCCTTTATATTCTATGTTTTGGTTTATTTTTCTGTGTTTTAAGTTGGCACCAGAGAGTGGTGACACAATGCAACATTTTTCACTGTATTTTGTAACAAAATACACATGACAATAAATAAATCACATCAACCAAAATCAAAAACCAAATTCCAACTTAAATTGGCCAGAATTGAACATGTTATTTCGGCAGAGGCCTAACCAGTGTTTTATAAAGATTAACATAACTTCCTTGCATTTGTACCCTTACTTAAATAAGGCCCAGGATTTCATGACCTTTTTTTTAAACAGTCTGCTCAGCCTGTCAATGCTGCCACAGCCAAAGATTTGGGTAATACACTCCCAGGTCTCTTTGGTCCTGCACACTCTTTAAAATTGTGCCGTTTAGTTTTGACCAACTCTCCTCATTCTCTGAAACTAGTTCTTTATCTCTCGTGTGTTTGCCCATTTCTCCAGTCCGTCAGTGCCAGACTGGGGAATATTCCTGTTTCAGGCTACATGGGATCTTACAAATGAAAACACAAGTTAGGAACAGGAGTAGGCTGCTCGGTTCTGAGGCCACCATTTAATAAGCTGATGTCTGATCTGATTGTAATTTCAACTCTGCATTCCCGCCTACCCGAGGAAACCTTACTCATCTAAATCTGTCCACTTCTGCCTTAAAAATAATCAAAAGATTCTGCTTCTACTGCCTTTTGAGGAAGACAATTCCAAATCTAAGTTAACAAGGTGTAGAGCTGGATGAACACAGCAGGCCAAGCAGCATCAGAGGAGCAGGAAGGCTGACATTTCGGGCCTAGACCCTTCTTCAGAAAGGTCTAGGCC